TCATCTTTCTTTCCTTCCTTCCTTCCTTCCTTCCTTTCTTTCTTTCTTTCTTTCTTTCTTTCTTTCTTTCTTTCTTTCTTTCTTTCTTTCTTCCTTCCTTCCTTCCTTCCTTCCTTCCTTCCTTCCTTCCTTTTTTCTTTCTATCTATCTTTCTCCTTCGTTTTGCAACCGGTAGTAAGTTGCAAAAAAGAGAGAGAGAGAGAGAAGGAGGCGATTCAAGCAACTCCTCCCTTTCTCCCCCTCTCTCGCCATCGGCTGCTGCGACTGCAAGCTTTGGGATTGGTAAAGCCGGCATCATCCCTCCTTTTGTGGTCGGAGATCATTGGCTTGTTAGGGAAGAGTTCAAGTTCCTAGTCCCTGGGGTTTGTCGTCACAAGGCGGGATGGGGGGGGAGGCTGTTTTGAGAGAGCGGTTCCTTTAAATCCACTTGCGGTGATGGAGCGATTAGTTTTGTGCCATAGACTGGTATCAACAGTAATAATAGCCTTTATTGTCATTGTGCCTCTATAGAACGACATGGATTAAATTTCAGTTCATTAAATAAGTCAATTAAAAATCAAAGATGGGGTGTGTTGGCAATGAGAGGTGGATTAAAGTGATGGTAAAGATTTTAAAGAGGATGGGACTCTGGAAAGTACAGAGAACAGCAACAAAGATGGTTAGGGAACTGGAGGTTAAAACCTATGAAGAACGGTTGTGGGAATTGAGGGTGTCTAGTTTGTCTAGTGTTTGTCTAGTGTTCCAATCTCTCGGGCTGCCCCAAAGAAGAGGGGGGTCAAGCTATTCTCCAAAGCTCCAGAAGGGAGGACAAGAAGCAATGGACGGAAACTAACCAAGGAGAGAAGCAACTTAGAATTAAGGAGAAATTTTCTGACAGTGAGAACAATCAACCGATGGAACAGAAGTTGCCCTCGGAAGTTGTGGGAGCTTCATCACTGGAGGCTTTCAAGAAGAGGCTGGACTGCCATTTGTCATGAATGGTGTAGGGTCTCCTGCTTGGGCGGGGGGTTGGACTAGATGACCTACAAGGTCCCTTCCAACTCTGATTATCTGTTATCTCAGCGTTAGATCCAGGTATTGGGGGACTTTCCCCTCCTACAAATGCTTGCCTTCTAACCCAGCGGTCACCATCTGCTGGTCCGCGAGAAAATTTTGGTGGTCCGCAGAATAATTATTTGCATTTTTTTTATATTGCACTGAATACTATTTATCTTTTTTTAAAAAAAAATCATATTAGTGGTCCGTGGGATTTAAAATTTATGAATTTAGCGGTCCCTGAGGCCCGAAAGGTTGATGACCCCTGTAAATCTAACCCATCCTAAGCTTTGCAATAGTTGGTTTGGATTCCTCTCGTATCTTGTTTGAGCTAACTTTGCTTCTTCTTCTTAAACCAAAGTTTGAGCTTTGGTTTAAGCTGATGGAAAGTGGTTTGATAATTAGGTAAACTTGCCATGGCAGGAAGTTGGCCCTTCTCGCCATAACTAAAACACAAAACTAAAATCTCGCATGTGTGTACTTGTCAGCAAATTGATCCGAGGTGTGTGTGATGGCCGGAGGTTTGCATTTGCAGCTGTGAGCACAAAAAGTCCAGGGTTCAAATCTTTAACCATTCCCATTCCAGAAATTAGGATAAAAACCACGGCTATCTCAGAACTGGTTCCATGCAGGTAATCCTTCAGCCAGCCATTCGTTTAGTGACCATTGAAAGTTACGACGACGCTGGGAAAAAGTGGCTGGCATCCAATCCTCACACTTAAGACCGTTGTGGCATCCTAAGGTCACGTGATCGTCCTTTGCGACCTCTCAGCCAGTTCCGACAGCCAAAATCCATGGGAGAAACCAGAGTCGCTTAATGACACTGTGATTCGCTTAACGAATGCACTGATTCGCTTAACAGTGGTGGTAAAAAGCTGCTTAAAAATTGGGCCTGACTCATTTAAGGACGGCCTGGCTGGGCAAAGGAATTGACGGTCCCAATTCGGTGGTCATAAGTTGGACTGCGACTTGAACTGCGATGCAAAACACACACACACACACACACTAGGAATGGCTTGTTTAATTTTATGCGTTTGTATTTTTTACCAGCTAAATCTGGGAGAGCAACGCAACATGAATAGTTGGTTTGGTGATCCCACAAACCACGGTTTGATTCGGTTTATGGCGGTGTTGTTAGCCAGGGAAGGGATCCATTTTGAATCCCCAAGTCCTTGCTTTTTAATTTCTTGAAAGGAATTGAGGATTCTGCAGCGCTTGGACTTTAGAATCTAGCAAAATTGGATCAACTGTCAGGCTCGCTCATGGTTGCTGCTTTTTTGTTGCTTGTAGTTGTTCTGGTATTTGCCTGTTGTTGCTGCTGTGCTGGTTGTTGTTGTTACTCCAGTCTTGCCTGTAGCAAAAAGTTACCTTGCAAGTTTGTTTGGACAGGAATGTTATGAATAAAGACTTTGTTTTTGGCAGATAGCAAATAACAACAAAAAAGGGGGGGAAAATTAGTACATCTGCAGAACAAGCCTGGTTAGCATCTTTCCTTGACCTTAATGGCATGAAAGAAATGGTTTTTGTACATATCTTCAATAAGCAGCTATTTTGGTAGCACAGAGTCATCAATCCTCTTAGACAGATTTCTTCCAGAACAAAGGCTTCTTGGTACTTTAAAATGCAATTTATTTTCCTGGCCTTAGACAGAGAGGAGCTGAGTTTTGCAAGCTATTCCGTGTCATTATTATACCGTTCCCTGGGTTTTGCAAACCCAGACAATTAGATCAATTCAGTCAAATCAGGGTTGACTTGTCCACAGTAAACATTCCCTGGAAAAACCAAGGTCTGTGGGGTCCTGGGGGCTCTCTGAGCTTGGTTTCATTACCCAACTAGGTAACATCATCAGTGCTGCAATGGAGTGGGATTGGAGGAGGAGGAGGACTGTGGGATCCTTGGTGCTCTCTGAGCTTGGTTGTTTTCTTGCAGACGTTTCACTACCCAACTAGGTAACGTCATCAATGCTGCAAGGGAGTGGGATAGGAGGAGGAGGATTATGGGATTCTTGGTGCTCTCTGAGCTTGGTTGTTTTCTTGCAGACGTTTCACTACCCTACTAGATAATGTCATCAGTGCTAAAAGAGAATGGGGTTGGCAGAGAGGAGGAGGAGTGAAACAAGAAACAATGATGGGAAACTAAGCAAGGAAAGAACCAACCTAGAAATAAGGAGACAAATTCCTGACAGTGAGAAGATTTAATCAGCGGAATGACTTGCTTTTGAAGGTTGCAGGTGTGCTCCATCACTGGAGGCTTTTAAGAAGGGACTGGGCAACCGTTGGTCTGAAATGGTTGTCCAGCAGAGGGTTGGACTAGAAGACCTCCAAGGTCCCTTCCAACTCTTCTTATTCTGTTATTCGTCGTCTCGGGAATCGGTCCTTTTGCTCCCTCCGGATTCCGTGGCTGGTAAACATTATTCTTTCCATGCCTGAAGATCTCACTGTGAGCTGCCGTTCTCCTCCGGTGCACTTGCTCTCTGGGAACCTCATGCTGGCAGCTGGCTGACGTTACAAGTGCACTTCATTTTTCCTCCCACTGACAGGCCTTGCGCTGTGCATGCTAAAAAGGAGGCTGGCTTTCAGGGCCTTTAAAACAGGAAGAAAAAGCTGCCACTCGACGACAAATCATTTTTGCATCCCCCAAATCCTTGGGCTCCATCAAATCTTCCCTGGATGTGGTTGGAAGGCTGGGAAGCCACCTCCAAGCATCATAGAGAACGTATGGTTCTCTATAGTTCTATGATGCTTAATAATGTTCCCTTGCTGGGTCATGAAATGTCTGCCAGAAAACAACCAAGCTCAGAGTCCACCAGGGACGCCACAGTCGTCGTCCTCCTCCTCCAATCTCACTCCCTTGCAGCACTGATGAATTTACCGCGTTGGGTAAGGAAATGTCTGCAAGAAAACAACCAAACTCAGAGAGCACCAAGGACCCCATAATCCTCCTCCACTCCTCTCCCTTCTCTACTAACATTGCCCATTCCCTTCTAACATTGATAATGCTACCTAGTTGGGTAAGGAAATGTCTGCAAGAAGACAAACCACGCTCAGAGTGGTTCACTCCCAGTGTTTGTTGCAACGGAAAGAGGAAAGATTTTGAAAGCACCTTGCAAAATTTCAGATTTCCACAAAGCATTTTTCCCCCCCTCTCCGGTGGATTGAAAGCCTTGCTCCGAAGATGCACCGTCAGCCTTGGCTCAGTGGCCCCTGGAAGAACACCTCGTCATGCTCCAAAAGCAGATTTTTGGGGGGGGCGAGTGA